AGAAGCTACCGCTCTTCTTCCAACTGCCTTCGGCACCGTGATAGACAGATGGTTCATCCAATCACCGGCCAAGTGTTTTTTGAAAGATCCAGCCCTTTTCCAAGTTTCCGAATGTAGCCTTCCCAGATGGTTCTGTGTGACAAACCATCTGCCGCGTTAGATTAACATGAATGTATCATTAACCTATTAGCATGCCATGTTTTTGATTCTGCAGATATTTGACTATAAACCAGTGTTGGGCAAATTTATCGACCTGATGATGGCGCTAGATGAAAAGTCATAAAGAATATTACAAATAAATAGTCTTATGGAGAACATGCTTTTGTGAAACCAAACAGTCTCTTAAACTGATGTTGAGATTTTTTACCATTTACTGTTCATCTTGTACCAGTGACGTAATTCGGAGCCGCAGTGGCAGTCCGGAGAAGAACATCCGAAAATAATAGGAACCATCTTTGAGTAGAAAATATTAAACTCCTACTTTGGGTTTTTAGTTTGTTCCATATCCCATCCACTAACACGGAGGATGCATTGTTTATGACCTATACTGCCGCCAGCCACTAGGGGGTGATCAAGACACTTTGGCCTCACTTTTCGCCATGTTGTTTTAAAACTCTGCATAAATAAATGTTTGGACTATAATTTAATGCTATTTGGTAACTTTTCTTTTTAGTTTTACAGTGAAATATGAAAATAAGATTACGGATATAAATAGAAAGCTATAATTTCAAAAAATGAATTCAACAAATGTGAAATGAACTTAGACTCCTTAGCTTTTCTCCCCCTGTTGGCCCACTCAGTTGTTTTTTCCCGTGAGACTCCTTCCTCCACCTGAAACTTTCATCTCTGCCTTGGGGCTGAGATGAAACAGCGGGGCCACCTTGCACGCAGCACGACGACTGGCCCCTCGAGTTTCTCGGGTCTGCTTGCGTCGTTCAGAACTCCCCTGTTTTTAATTAACTCCTTCAACAGGGACCGTGGCAGCAGAATTGCAGCCTTCGAGATGATTTCAACAGGAGACTTTCTTTCTTTTCCTGCGCCCCCTATTCTCGCCTCAAAGGAACATGGGGAATAATCGACATGTTCAGAAGCGGAGGGCCATAATTAAAACGCCAGGACTTTTGTGTACACTCACCCCCTCCCCCTCCTCGATGTTTTCTCCTTTTCATTTTTTTTGACATAGTTCACTCGGTATAGCCCACGCACTGATTGCCAGGGTGTGAATTATAAGATTATTTTGTAAGCTATTGAAGAATCTTCGAGCTCTCCCTTTCACTGCCGGAGAAAGTATTGAGCAGGATTTGACGTCAGCCCCCACTTGTCTGTCTGCATTGAGTCATTAGAGGTAATAGAAAGAGAGGGAGAGAGCTTTGGCATAAAACCCAAACCATATTCCGTCCATCTCCTCCTAATGTCTATGTTAGGTAGCATACTTAGCGGGTTAAAACTGGATTAGGCTCTCAGCTTAGTGTAAGATATCAATTACAGAGTGTATGTGCGTAATAGATTTGGGTGGAGGCGGCATCCGAATGGAAATGTAGAAACTGGGAGAGAAGTAGTGAGTGTAGTCAGAGCGGAGTAAGGTGGGAAGAGGAGGCACAAAAAGACGATGGAGATCAATAGAGATGCAGAAGCACTGGAGGCTGATAGATGAAGACACAGAGAGGTGGGGAGAGGTTCTCTGTGTTTTAGCTCGATCCTGACCTTGCGTTAGATCTTCCTACAGTCATGTTCTCAGTGCAGTAGTTGCACTTTTCAACTTTTCTTTTTTTTTTTTTTGCTGATATTTTCCATCCAGCACCTGCAGGTGCCTGAGCTGCACACACACTCTGTCTCGGATGACTCTACAAACAGAGGAACAGTTCATACTGTGGTTGGTGTATTTTTAAACCAAAGACTGCGGACATTGTGTTCGTCTTTATTTTGAATTGTTTACAACATTGTGACCAGATTGTCCATAGTTGATTTCCATGCTGAAGGAAAAGTGTGATAAGAACTACCTGAAGGACAGAACAGAATATCCTTATGCCAACAATTATTTATTGTGTACTCCCAACAGCTAACATGGAGGAGTTGGGGGTTTACAGTGCAGCCAGCCACCAGGGGGTGATCAAAGTGATTTGGCTTCACATTTAGTAATTGAAGTGAAACTCATCACTCAGTTTGCATTGGTTTGGTTTGGCTGGAAACACCATATGTTTGTAAGAATGCTCATAATGGTGATTTCTGGCTGCGTTGCTCTGAGTGGCAGAGACACCAGCTGCCACAGTTTTCATCCAAATAATTCAACTCACTCAGTTATTTGAAGGCCTGGTATCAACAAACTTTGTTCCTGCGGGGCCAGACTATTTGTCGAGCTCTCTGTAACAAACATGGAACCTGGTGCTACATGGCGTTTCTTTAGTCACTGCATTGTCCAGAAGATGTTTATGGTGATTTACAGCCTGGAGCAGAATCCAGAGTGTATGAATCATACCCTCCATCTTTTTTTTTCCTGTCTAGCTCGTTCTCCACATCTGACCACTGAATATGTACACGTCGACACACAGCAGTACACGTTTTCATACAGATTATGCAGATTGAGGTGTGTGGGCAGTAAAATGACCTGTTGTTTAGAGCTCTGTCTGAAATAGCAAAAAAAAAAGCTCGATGCCGCCCACTTTGTGTGTAGAAGGAAACACATTTGCAAACCTGTTTGATTTGTCACACTCATGAAGGCGTATAATGGTTCCAGATACCCAGGGGGTCTGTGGCGCCCCAACAGAGGTCAATCCCAAAAAAGAACATCCATTGATGACAATATTTGTTTTTTGTTCACAAAAACATAATAAATGCAGGTTAGATTTTTTTATTTTCCTTTTCAGCATGAAAAAAGATCAAGCATTATTTTAATATTTATGTATAATTGAGTATGATATAGCCATTATAGACTTTTATATCCCTGTATATGATATGGACCGGGTTGTTCATCACTCTTTATATTTATATTTAAATACACACACAGTTTTTAGAGAGAGTTTTCGCAGTAGTTAAGAACTAAACTTTTCTGCACACTTCTACAATTCAACACTTGCTGCTGGATTTGGCCTTTTCTCACCACCCGTAATGGAAAACAAGAGCTACAATTGATACTCGACTTCTCCTCCACACGACCAGTTTGCAGGCTTTCACTGTCACTTCAACATGTAGCACCATTTTCTAGACACAAAAGTGGGATACTTAAAACGGCCATCACGATATAAGAGAGTGTAAACTCTCAGGGGCTGACTCTGCCTCCTCGTTACTGACCATGTCTGTAAATATCCTCTGACAACACAAGATCTTTGAGGCCGATAACAGCACCAAGTTTTTTTGACATCATTCAAAAATATTATACTGGCTAAAATGTTAATTTTCTTTACACAACCCATAACATAATAACATAGAAAAACACTTAGCATGGCTAATATCGGCCAATATATCGGCCTGGCTTACTCATTTGTCAGCTTCTCCTTTCATGTACGATATCTGCATTATTTTAGGGTCAGGATCAGCACATGTTTGGTTGGAGCTGAGATGAAAGACACTGGGTTGATTCACATACACCTGGATGACCACAGGGGTGACTGCATGAACAAAGCATCAGTGTACTGACGCACAGTGAAATGTTCCAAATCAAAAAGCACATTATGAAAGATACACAGATATTTTCACTCTTTCACCGCAATTATATAAACCTTAGATATATAAGCACTGTGTTTATATAATGTTGTTTCCAAACTGGGGGAATCTTGTGAATCATTTCACTGTAGCATGAATCAGTGATTCTTAGTTTCTCGTCACAACACTTTTTAACTGCATCGCCGTGGACCTCAGAAGTTTCTGGGTATCGAATAGCATTTTTATTTGAATGTTTGTTGGCTCACAGACTATGGTTCTTACAGCAGCATTGTCAGATGTTTAGATTTCAAATGAGGCCTGTTCATCTTAGCGATGTCTAGCAAATAACATAAAATATCAAAACCTCCTCAGTTGACCCATGACACAGAGTAGGCTTATCTGCTTTATGGGACCGAAGAGGAAGAAAGGGACTTTCTTTGAGCACAGCAGAGGTTTTCAGTATCAAAAAAAAGGAAGAAATCGACTTCTGGGAAGAAAAATGAGGAAACAAACACACAAATCTGTCAGTGAATAGAAGAGCTACTGTTTGAAACCAAATACGTCAATATTATCAAAAACAGTTTCAACCACAGTCCTAGAAAATGAGATTTTATTATTTAGAAGTGCTACCTTTCAGGGGTGGATCCAGCGACATGGCCATGGTGGCATTAGCCCCAGCTGAAATCTGATGTGCCCCCACAATGCTAAAAATATATTTAATGATGTGTGGCTTAGCTCCAAGCTGAAGAATTAACAGCAAGGAGTGACTCGAACATGCACATTACTGAATCAGGAGTTGTGCATGGTTGTTGGACATTTAATTGGCCCTTCTTAGTAAATTATAGCCCCTGATTTCGAAAAACCCTAGATACGGCACTGCTACCTGCAGTGTAGTATTGTTTTCCTAAAATATTTCATTCAGGTTGTTGTTTACACGAGATAAGGTGTGTATTTGTGTGTGTGTCACAGTGGATTCCCCCTACATAGTGGCTCCCTATTGGCTCTCTGGCTAATGTGTTGTATTTCTCTCTGTGTATCTGTCTGTCTCTGTCTTTATGACTGTCCGTCTGTCTGTGACTTTGCTCGTCGTCTTCTTTTATGTCTCATTTTTTGGTCACTTCACCACATGCGGCTTGTCATTTCTTTTCTTTGCTTTTCATGTCACTTGTGTTGTTGTTCTTTGACTGTGTCTCTCTCATTCTGCATTTTTCCACCCACGGCTTCCTGCCCCTTTTTGAATGTCTGCTTTAAATGTATGTTTGTGTGAGTCGTCCCCACGTCCATTTATGTCCGTGCATCTCTTGTCTCCGTCTGTCTTTCCCCCCCCCTCGTCGCTGTCTCCATAATGTCCCCTCCTCCAGCCTTTGTGACTTTGCTGAACGGGGACCAGGCTCAGGATGCCATCCGCTCCCTCCATCACAGCACTGTCCGAGGACGCCTGATCAACGTCACCCTGCAGCCCACCGACTCCCTGCTCTGCCTCACCAACCTGCCGCACACCTTCACCGCCCAGCAGTTGGAGGAGCTGGTGCGCTCCTACGGGAACATCGAGCGCTCCTTCCTGGTGTACAGCGAGCTGACGGGCCACTCCAAAGGATATGGGTTTGTGGAATACATGAAGAAGGACTCTGCTTCACGGGCCCGATCTGAGCTGCTGGGCCGACCACTGGTATGTTAACAAGAATGATCTCTTCACGTTTGATTATCTTACCTTTCTAAATATTATTAAAGACATTTAAGTTTGCACAGCCTACAAGAACCATTCCAATCACACACATTCAGTGCCAATGAAGGGATCTCCCCTCCTCCAGCTTGTGTCTATGACCCCGAGCAGGTTCTCGGTTGACCGAAATGAGCCTTTTACAGACTTATCAGTATCTCTGTGTGTTCATGTTTGCCAATGTGCTCGGATATGAAAACTTATTTTCCAATTAAACAATGCGGAGTGGCCTACATACCTCCACCATAGCAAGTCCCCTGATGAAACCATATTTAAATTCACTAAATCTGGATTTTTATTTGGATTTGAACCAGATTGCACACAGTCATAAACATCCGTCCCATAAATATGATCAAGATCCATAAACGGTGAATGAATAAAAATCTCACAGTGTCATTGTGATAAAAGTTTGATATCTTCTTAGGAATCATTACCAATTTGAATATATATATTTATAGATGTCAATTTACCTGCCAATATATCAGTATCTGAATTTTTTTTCTCCCTAGTTTCGATGTAAACTAAGACTTTCTGTCCTGTCATTATTTAAACATACTCGTGCATGAGCACACATTTGAGTATTGGTCTGAGTATTATTCTCTGAGTTATTTTTCTTTAAAACTTGGGGGAAACTTGTAATAATGAAGCTAACAATACATTGGAAAAGAGATCATAAGTAGAATTATTGTCTGAAAGTTGAGGTTGGTTTCAATTTATTGTCAAAAATAATATGCAGAGGGAAAAAAACTACAGCTCAAGGGCTGAAAAACTTTCAAAACCACCTCTATAAGAAGATGGAGATCTACTAGCCTGTAAATTCATACTTACAAATATTATAACCCAATGGAGAATTTAGAGTGACCTTGCGATGTAGAGTGGGAGTGTGAGGTCAGTTGAGAATGGTAAATATCTGATTATATACATACATCACACAACTCTCTGCAGGGCGATCGCTCACTGATGGTGCAGTGGATGGACGTCAACCAGCTGAGCCAGGAGGAGAACCTGCACTCCAGGTGTCTGTGTGTGGACCGACTGCCGCTGGACCTCTGCGACTCCGAGGAAATGACCCAGCTCTTCTCTGAAACCTACAAACCTGTCTTCTGCCAGGTCCGTTTCTATTTCTCTCTCTCTGTGTGTGTAAGATTGCTGAGGTATTCATTTTTTATACTGAACGTTCTTGTTGGCCGTTGGTAAGAAGGTATATTGTATTGAAAGCAGACACCTCTGGATGTGACTGCCATTATGATATATACATATATAAGTATATTAACACAAATGTGACAAGGCCTTTAGTTGTCACCCATCTTACAAGCAGGACCACATCTGCTAAATATTTTTATCCACAAGGTCGTGGCTCATTGAACAAGTCTGTGCTGGGAGACCAAGCTTTGAGATAAACTCTTCATGTTCTCACTGCCTCATAAGCTGCTCTCTGTCTGAACATTTTCTTGAAATCATCCACATGGGCTGTATTTGAAATTGCAAATGTCTGAGTCAGTTGCTTGTGGACATTTTCAGAAATTCTCCTGCCAAAGTCAGAGTAAGCCCATGTAAGAATACAGCAGGAACACATTCAGTGTTTAGTTTATTCACAAATTCAACTTCACAGCGAGCGAGTGGACACGTTGGGGAGTGCGACGGACGCATCAAAGGAATAGAACGAATATCAGATGAAAAAGAATTGTCAAATACGTAGAAGACTCAGAGAAAGTCGACTTGGAAAGACGATGAGATTCAAAAGGTTTTGACGATGGGGACGCATGTCGGTGTTGATGTGCTGTGAACAAAATCCCCTTTTCCACCGGTGAAAAAACATCTGCTAACATCTGGCTTTTGTGTGCAAAGGGAATGGAAAGAATCAGAGATGCAGAGATGCAAACATGACACCAGGGTGAATGCATTCATTTCTTTATTTTGGTCAGTCTAGCCGCTAACATTGAAATTTCTTATTGTTTTAAACACTGGAAACTTTTGTTTTTCGTATCGTGTGAGATGCAACACTGACAGGATTACTGTTATATTATATTATTATTATATTACTCATTAGTTTGTCACACAAACTCCTTTAAATGATCTGTGCTTCCTCAGTTCAGACTCTCACCTCCTCACCCTGTCAAGTGAACACCACCAGGTGAGAGGTGCTGATATAAAATTCCGGGGGTCACTGTCCCTATTGGCCCACCTCGCTGTATCACTGGGCAACTGTTACCATGGTGAGGTGTGGCTGCTGTGACACCCGCCCCACCCTTCATGTCCCTCCCTCCGTCCCGCTCTGCCTTTTCCTCCGCTCGTTCAGCTGCTTTGTATTTGTTACCACCCTGCTCCGTTACATCCACTCCACCCTCACATGCCCATTTAGTCATTACTCAGTGTGGGTCCGTCATCTCTTCCATTTCCACTTTTAGCTCCACCTCTCTGCCCCACTCCTTCATAGAAATCAATACACCCACATCATCCCGGTCCCATGATGCTTTGTGGGTGTTTAGCTCATGTTGCTTCGCTGTTGCAGAGCCAGCAGGCTTTGACCTATGGTTTGCTGTTTTTTGCTTCTGTACTGTACAGCACAGCGTGCGCCTCAGAAAGTGTATTTGTATCACTGCACCTCACCGTGTGTTTCCTGGAACACTTAAAGCACAAAGCTTATGAAACCGTGCGCACCAGTGAACAAAGATGGATGGATGGATATATGGAGAAATAAAAGAGTCACTGTATTTTTTTATTAAATGTGTGGGACAGTGCACCAGAGCCATTCTAACCATGACTGCTGCCTCAGGCTGTGGGTGCTTGAATAATAGTCAGGGGATCTTCAAAATCTCTAGACTCCATCATTTGGGGCAACATGACATGTACTACATCTCATGGTAACTGATAGACCAACATTGGTGTTGGTTATCCAGTGATAGAAGATGAGCTTTCAATTTTATACATTTATCATGTCTCATTCATTTGTGTTGTTTTGACCAAATCCCCAATTATTTATATTGGATAGAATTAGAAGGGCTTCATCTATAAATTGATATTTGCTCATCACAGTAAAATAGAAATTGCTGTGTGTGTGTTGGTCAATTATAAAATAGAATATGTATTTAATAATAATGTGCACATGTCGCACTTAAAGTAAACATAAATGGAATCATCAGTAATTTAAAGTGTAGAGGCTTGATGCTGTTCCCTGTAAACTTTTGTCATCTCCTCTCCTCCAGTCTGTCTCTCAGCAGAGGATTATTATTATAATGAATCTTCAGGATTAATATAATTGGGTATCTGGTGGCCTCCATGTCATTGGTTCAGGGACATTAAAATCTTTTCTTAAACGATCACCTTGTTTTCTTTCACCTTTTAAATTCCAGGAGACAATCAGAGGCCAGCGTCAGATACTGTAAAGACGTAGGACGTGTACCGCTCAGGGATACAAAGAGAGAAGGTGGTCGTCCTCGTTTGTTTGAGATAACTTGTCTTAGATCATCTGACGGTCATCCGCTTTAGTCTCTCTTGCATAAAACCTTCGTGCACGGAGGTACACCTCAGCCCTCTTGTCACTTTTCCTCTGTTCAGAGTGCACTTAACCTGTGGCTTTGGCCTTGAGCGCAGTAATTCTGCTGCCCACGAAAGGGCCCTTCATTCAGCACTTTAGCCTGAGTCACTCCGCAGAGAGGGAGACAGGAGAGGGTGAAGAATGTCAACCATATTAGAGGAGAGAACAGCGGGATGGAGACAGTGCGGAGGGATGGTGAGAAAGGGAGGAAGGAGCTGAGAATGCCAGACCTATTAGAGAGAGAGAGAGGATAGAGGGAGGAAGGCTGTCAGCGAAAGGGAGAGAGGCAGAGCTGAGGGGAAATGGTGAAGAGGCGTCGATTGTCAATCACAGTAAGAAGATTTTTAATGTGACTGAGAACTAGTTAAAAATGCACTTTTACACTCAAACTAAGGGAGGAAAAATGTATGTCGGCAATATGGCGAATATAATGGACATGGAAAAGAGACAGATGGAGGGATCGATGTTGGAGAACGGATGGAGAATGGATGGAGAGATGTTCATGAAACGAAAACCTTCCATACTTTGCAGACTGCACAGGGAAGACTGAGAATAGATACTCTTTCACACACTTTTTATTTTCCACTTGTTTGACGACACAGTTAAATCAACTTTATTTATATCGTTCTGGTCAATAAACAACATATTTGATGTTATATAATAAGGTACAGTGCAAACTATGATGCACATTTGGAATTATTCAGTTAAACTAAGCTCTTTTTGAAGCTTTCACTCAATACACTGTGGGTTTAATTGAGCTACAAGCAAGGGAAGGCATCTACCTCTATCTATTGATTCCAGCTACAGGGTTCTGTGGTCCAGGTCTTTCGTCGCTGCAGCTCAATCTCTTCAGGTCACTTTTACAGTTTCAGAAACTAAACTGCATCCAGCATCACCACAGACCGAGCAAACTGTTCAATCCAAACAGACTCTGTAGAGACTCCGCTGCAGGAAGTCACGAGATTAGATTCATCTGAAGATGTATCAACTTCTTCTGCAATTGTTCGCAGCTAATTAAAGCCAAGTACAATCTTTGGGTGTTTGACACAGATGAAACACACACGTTTTATCAGTGAGAGACCATTTTAATGTTTTAATAAATCTTTTTTCCTTCCCACAAAGCTGATGAAAAACCCTCAAAAACATTTGTTGTTTGTTGAATTTGATTTAGTTTCATCTCGGAACGTCCAATTTTTGTGATTAATGATTTTATCAAGATCCCTCCTCTTTTAAATCTTTTTAACAATAGACACTTTCACTTCTTCTGTCTCTCTTCTTTTCATGAACTCACGCACACACACACACACACACACTCATATACATTTCTTCACAGACAGCTGCGACAGTGCTGTCGTGACCTCATCACTCGGTTTAGACAACTGATGTGGTCATTTATACGGTGTCTCTCTCTCTCTCACACACACACACACACACACAGGCACTCACAAACTGACAGGGGTGCTCCTACGAGTGACCCAGTCAGCATCTCTTGGCACCACCACTTGAGGTCAAGAGCTGTCAGACACACTGATAGCTTAGCCTAGCATTCTGCACTGTAAACACACACACACACACACACACACACACACAAAGATGGGTTAAATCATCAAAAAGTATTTTATTTCGATCCCAGCTGCGTAATATGCAACATCAAAAAGCAGAGACACAGAACATGTCATCAGGAGAGTGAGATCAAAACAGTTCACTACTAGTTTCTGCTCAAACAAACGTGGTGAGAGTTTCTGTATCTGTGAAATAAAATAGAAGAACTTCAGAGTAAAGAAGCCTTAATCAATTTCTAAAACCTTTTTTCCCAGCCTTTACCATTTCAAACATAATGTTGGGAGCAGGTTTATTCTTGTTGCAGCAGCGGTGGAGGACTCACATCTCCTCCCTCACAGCTCACCTGTAACGATAAGGTTGCTTTATCTTAGTAACATCCTGGAAGTTCTCAGGTTCGGTCAACAGCCTCTGACGCACACCGAGGCTACACATGTGAGCACAGAGCGAGCGAGAGAAGCAAACAGCTGCTGTATACGTGGGTCATGCTCGGTGCACAACGGCCGACTGTGAATTTGCATAATTGTTTGTGCAAATATAAATAATGATTGAATACTTGTTATAGCGTGAGAGCAGTAGGAGTAGAAATATGAGTACTTTGCATCATTACTCAGGCGTGTACACAGACACAAAGTTGATGATGGCTTCAACGCCATTTGCTCGCAATCCAATTGAATATAATGTATAATATATGTTCCACAGCAGCCGTATTCGTTGTGTGCACATAAAAATAATGATTAGCAACTTTTTGTTTGTTTTCCCTCCTGTCCGTTCTGCCTCGTGTTCTCCGTCAGCCTCCATCCCTCCATCCCTCTATTCTTCCACTTGTCAGTTACTTAATCAATCCTCTGTTTTTCACTTCATCCCTTCCTCACTCCTACACTCTCCCATCCATCCATCCATCCATCCATCCATCCATCCATCCATCCATCCATCCATCCATCCATCCATCCGTCCACTTGTCAGTCACTTACTCACTGATGTGTTTCTTACTCACTCCTCTTTTTTTCTCTCCACCCCTTCCTCACTCTTCACCTTTATCCATCCATCCATCCATTCACTTGTCACTTAATCAATCACTGGTGTTTTTCTTCTTCCCTCCTCCCTCCTCTCTTTTTCTCTCCATCCTTTCCTCACTACGACACCATCCACCCATACATCCATGCATCAGTGGTAGAGTGGTTCATGTCATTTCCATACCCGTTGCTTAATGTATGCTGATGATAATAGCCTATCGACCTCCTCCTCATACATCCACTTTCCTCCCTTGTTCCATTCCTTCCTCCCTGTTCAGACCGGAGGGAACAGCAGACGAATGGGAGGAGGAGGGGAGGAGGAGGTGGAGGGCCACTTGATGGAACCACTGATGGTAACAGGCGTCAGCGCTCAGGCTGAGAAAGTGCAAATGCATTTGTTTCCTACTGATTTGTAATCTGCTCACTTTTACAGAAAAAGCCTCTGATATGATTGTAATCGCACGTATGAGTGATTATATGGTAATTTTCCTTTTTTTAAAGTTTAATTGCAATCACTAATCCTCTGAAACTAAAAGTGTTTTTCCGGGCGTTGTTGTAAATGCTCTCAATGTTTATTTACATTATTTACATCATTCTGATTCAGTCCATTATTAAATTATTTAGCGGTTCTGTCGCATTAAATGAGACATACGATGATTTTTCAATTTTTCTTTTATCTAAAGTGGTAAAAATGTTTTTTTTATCTCGGTAAAAGTTCTGCAAAGTTGAAGTGCACAGCAAACACTGCTCCTGAAACACCTCGTCACTCATCCGGCTTATAGTTTCACACCATTGGGATGTCATTACGATATCCCACACTTGCACACAGCCATTATGAAGCATCACATTGTTTCATGCAGAGCAGTAGGGTCGCACCCTCAGCAGTGAACATGCTATCGTCACACCACCTGCTACATGTTGCGGTCGCTGGTTAATTTCTCGCTCCGGCACTCCGGCGTCCTCCTGTTCTGTTTCCCTATCAACTCGGAAAGCCTTGACATCTTGTGCCCAGTGCATCTTGTGTATTCATGTCTCTCTGTGATACTGTGGAATTCTGCTGCTTATAATCCTCAGGGGTTTTTACTTCTCTCATGTAGAAATCTTTCTTTTGCCGTTCACTCACTCATTTCTGAGATTTCTAGTACTATCTCTGCAAACGTGTGAGTTAGATTCTTGGACTGAGTGAAGCTGTGGTAATTCTCCACCTGTTAACACCATGATACTCTGGTAGAACATTACGGCTGTGAATAAGAATCAGACTTGATGTTGATCTGTTTTGTTGCCTGCTGTTAAAGTGCTGTTCACTGTGGAGAGTCTGGAGCTCAAGTATTCAGACTCTGAAATATCAGCGCTTTTTTAGGGCAGTATGATTTCAGTCTTTTTTATGACATCATGTAAGTACAATCAAACTACAAGTGCTACATATAAGTGCCTCATATAAGTGCAAGTAAACTTTATTTTCCTCAAACCTTATTCTTTTCTTTCTTTAAAAGTTAAACAAATTTTGAATTTTTGTGAAAACCACTGTCGAACTATCCTGAATATGAACACTCCCATTGTGCATTCGGAGCTAGAGAATGCACGGTAGTGATCAGGGGATCGCGGAAGCCGAGTCCGTCTCAGCTGTCAATGACATTTCACCCCTTTTTTGTAGCTCATCAAAACCAAAATTTGGAAATACATATAAGTGTGATAAGAACAACCCTAAAAGACTTTTGGGGGACCAGTCATGTCGTCCATCTTTATTTACAGTCCGTGGTGAAATCAGATGCATCGCTATCAGTGTCGGTTTGAGCTGCATCATGAAGACACCACACCACATGTGTTTATCTGTGTTACCAGAGACTTGAAGAGTGACTTCATTTGATTTGGTTCAGCAGAGCTCAGCAGTTACGATTTCTTAATATTACATTTTTTTCTTTCTTTCTCACAAAAAAATAGAAAATATGATTAATCCGTTCTTCAAATTCAGTAAAGTTCAATCCCAGTTTATGTGAACTCCTTGTTTTATCTTCTAGTATGTACACTTAAATGATCCACTACTAATAATAGGTCATGTGGTGCCTTTTAACCCCTAAGCTTTTAGCTTTTAGCCATTATGATTATTCCGCATCATCCATTAGCTCTGATGTATTCGCCCGCCTGCATTATTTAGCTGGTCCTCACACACTCGAGTATGAACCTTCTTGACAGAGCAGTAAATCTAAAGTAATGTTAAAGGTCAGCAGCACTCCGACCTTGAGAGATCCATTAATTGACCTGAAGAAAATGTGATGACATTGTTCCGTCAACTTACTAAGTTGGAAAAAGGCCAGATGTGTGTGTGTGTGTGTGTGTGTGTGTGTGTGTGTGTGTGTGTGTGTGTGTGTGTGAGTGTGAGTGTGAGAGAGAGAAGTTGCTCCCTCCAGTAATGCAGGAAGAGCAAGAAGATGTATTTCTTACATCATAGTTTTTGTATCTGTCCTTCTTGACAGAAGGTGCTGAGATAAGCTCTTTTACCTCCACCACAGTATATTTATGTCAGTTATACACACAATCAAACACACACACACACAACTACACTCACATCTGTGCATGTAGGTTCTTGTAGGGCCTGACCGATATGGATTTTTTCAGGGTCGATGCAGATACCTATATTTGGCAGTTCAAAAAATGTCCAATACTTCTGATTCTGCACCTTACTAACGTTCGTGTATGGAAAGTCTGCTCTGAGCGAAATAGTTTTTTTGCCGTTGAATCCAGACACACCAATCAGCTCTCTGGATAAATACTGTTCCAAGACGGTGCAATAAACTTGGTGCAGAAATAGAAAACAGGCTGTTTGTAGGAACCCGCTTTGATTGCACTGCTGGTTTATGAAAAGAGAACAAATGAAAGTGTTTCCAGGGTTTTTACTCTCTCTGATGATGAAAGGAAGACGTCTATTAAGCAGCATGCATCTTATAATTAGAATTATCAGTGAGTAGCTACGTTTCCTCATTGCACATTAAAGGAAGAATCCAATCTTAATCACATTCACTCCATTAAAACAGCTGTTGGCATCAATGCATCTGGTGTGTGTATGTTTTTTTTAATTCCAGCACAAAATGGAGGGTTTTAGTTTCAGTTAATCGGAAAAAAGGGCTCGGAAAAGAAAATCCGTCAGAGGCCATCCACGTGGGGCAGATATATCCTTTTCTCTTTTGTTCCTGCAGCTCCAAGTGTTCTTTTTATCTTTTGTGTTTGGGCATTGTTCCTCTCTGCTGCTAACAACAGATAGCACCTTGAGCACAGATGTATCCACCCGCGATAGTTACAGGTTTCATTTGGCCCATGTTCACCTGAATGAACAAAACCAGCGAGGCACTTCAGATCATCCATCCATCCTCTGTGCCAGATCGTCAGCTTGGCACTGCAGGGTGCTGTTTATCCTATATCCAGCCCACCGGGTGAGGGATGACGTGCGACCTGGACAGGTTGAGGCAACATGTGCTCGGATTGGAGAGGATGGAAGGAAACCAAAACCCACACAGACGTGAGGAAAACCTGAATACGCCGCACAGAAACTCACCAGCTGGACTCCAGATTCAAACACAGGACCTTCTGCAGAGAGGAGGCAGAGCACAAAAGTGAATTATTAAGTAACAACAAGGGAAACTGGACAGACTGAGAGAGTGAGAGTCAGAGAGAAGGATTTGAAAAACAGGATGAAAGTCAGATTTCAGTTCATTGTGTTTGTCAGTGATTTCTTTCCTCCTTTTTGATTTTGACTTTTCATCATCAAACTTACAACAAAGCATCTAACCACTTCAACATCTCATTTACCCAGTGAAGGAAGCCTGCACGCACAGCGATTGAACATTATTCCATATTTAAGAAAAGAGAAAAATGTCTCTTGAGACAACAAAGCAACACAGTTGTAGACTGTTGCAGAATCATAAATATCATTATTGATTTAATAAAACAAGTGAAGTTTCTTTCTCCCCAAACAGAATGTTGCTGATCAAAAGCAGTAACTTAACTATGTGCTGATTTTTGGAACTTTGAAAACGTAACTTTCTCGCCTGTACTCCCACCTCATGTCAAAAAAATTAAAATGATGAAAGCAGTGTAGTGAGTTTTTATTTTTTTTGACAGAGGTAACGAGTTTCAAAATATGGAAATTTAAACGGTCAATATGCACATTGGAAAGATTTAAATGTAAAAAGATGTACGTTTTTTTAAAAGGTTGTAACACTCTTTTTTTTTTTTTATATTTAACAGCTTGCTCAGGATGAGGGCAGCCCTGTGCGGGGGTTCGGCGTGGTGGAGTACGAGAGCGCAGAGCAGGCAGAGGCTGTGCTGACAGAGATGGACCGGACGCTGGTGGGAGGACAGGAGGTCCGTCTGTCGCTCTGTTCCCCTGGCACCTCAGGGAGAAGCACCCTGGCTGCACTCATCGCCGCCCAGGGTATGGTGAGTATGATCCACACGAGCGGCACGGCCAATCATATTTACCCGTATACCCTCCAATATATCCAGGTTCTTTCCGATGGTCGTATGGAATCTCTGTTCATTCTCGAGCCAATTAAGAGTATGTGATTGTTTATGTTAAAACCACCAGGGCCATAACCTTCTGTTGGGTTTATTTGGTTCTGCACCAAACTGCACACACTCATAAACATGAATTATCCTCTGACAAATCAACCAAAGTGAAAAATGTGATCCAGATCCACACCAAAGTTTTATGGGTTCTCCCCTGACGCATCCTTCCAATAAATTGAGTCGTAATCAATCTAGTGGCTTTTGCATAATCCTGCTAAATAACAGACAAACACACAAAGACATAACCTCCTTAGAGGAGGTCAAGGAGCACGTTAGAAACGCACACCTCCACGAAGGCTAATGCCCAATAAAAAAAGATTCTGCCTTTTGTACCATCTGTAGAACTCTCAAGTTGGTGGATCCAGCTCCACTTGATCCACTCATACATTTGATCAAATCTGGGAGCTTATACCCACATCACCCAAACTTCTCCTTACTCGAGAAGACACAAACAAAGCGACATTCTCACAGCAACATCTAATTGTGAATCCAGCACCAACTGGTTATTGCGTGTCCAGTGTTGGGCTGTGCAGACGTTTGACATGGTGCACATGCATGAGCTCCCCTGGGCTGAAATAGTCTGTGCGGCTGTGGTATCCCTCCTACACACTGCTGTGGAAGCAGAGAGGCACTGACATGATAATTATAGTTCTGTAGACTGATTGGGCTCCTCCACAGTCTCCTGCTGCCTGAAATAAACCGAACTCGCAGCCTGCGACACAGCATGACTCTGATACGTACAGACATTCACATACACACCGGCAGACTTACACATACGGAATGTAAACACGAGTGAGCGTTTCAGTCGGTTGAAGGGAAGGAACAGTCCCAATACTTTTGCAGTCAGAGTCAGTTTATGTGACGGAGTGACACAGACAGGTCACATGGTGCCGTAAGTGAATATTAAGGTTTTATTTTAAACTTATCTGGAAATTGCATCTAAAAATAGTTTGGTCTCACATTCAGTGAGACAATATGCATTATACATTATATCATTGGGTGTCTGATTAGGTCTTCAATATGGTAAATGTGTTTTTAAAGACCTTTAATTAGCATTGCACAGCGCTTTTCCCATCACACACCATTCACGCACTGTCTGTGCAGCTGTCAGGAGCAATTTGGGGTTTGGTATTTTGCCCAAGGACACTCCAGAAAGCAGAGACTGGAGGAGCAGAGAATTAAATCGCCAACCTTTTAGTTAGTGCATGACCCTCTCCTCCACCTGAGACACCTTTGCAAACAGTGGAGACGGTCTAAAGCCCATATGGATCAGAAATGTACTCCCAATCCTGTGATTGACGTCATGTAGTCAGAAAGTTGCCATTACTTGGTTTTATATATTATATTCATGCACATCATGTGTATATGATGTTCATTGTCTTTTCCTATGTTTGTTTTGTTGTAATATTGACCTGCTTTGTTATTCTGAGCAGCTTCTTATTATCAGTGTCCTCTCGTGTGCAGGCCTGTGCAGTAGTTTAGTGATGTGACCTTCCATCGAGTTCAATTAACTCTAATAACCCAAAGTTAATAATGCCACTCCTTCACCATGTCAGTAATTATTCTGGGGTTTCGCATTTTCTTTTGTTGAACGGCCAATGAGGACAAAAACACACACGTGTTTCTACCGTCACGTGGAAACCCGCAATTATGTTTTCTCATGAGTTGCAGGTTTATGGATCGTTATGAGTTTCCCCCCGCAGGCCATGGAAAATCGTTACAGCTCACTGTTTAACTCACATCTGTTTATGAATATTTCAGATTACACTCATTGGGCTTATGGAGGGCTGCAATTAAAAGGCAGAGGTTGTAACTTGGAAGGAGGCTGATGCAAATACTGTAAATCCAATTTACAAAAAATGATATATTATTAATTTCATAGTATCCTGTGAGGATGCTGATTTACTCACAACAAGGAGGTTGTGTTTCCATTGTTGTTTGCATTGTTGACTTTATTGAAACCTTGTGGAAGGGTGAGGTATTGGCCATTTTGGAGCAAATTCAATTTGTTAGGGGGCAGATCCAGGATATTTCTTTCACTTATTGCCTTTGTTTTTAAATCTTTGTTTAAACAGAAAGAACGCATAGATCAAGATTTAATGGACTGAATTGAACCCGTAGGAGTCCCAGGCGATTTTGGTCATGTCTTAATGGTTGTAATTTTACCTTGATATACCACAAGTGTTCAGCACAACAGTGTCTATGTGACCGGATAATTAAATAATAAACATATTTGACCCAATAACACACGTGCATCACGTGATTCGATCATGCCAGCTCGATTGCAGACTTCACAGGGTTAAGGTGACTGTTGGTTCTTGGCAGAGGTTTGCGCCCCATTTCATTTTTAGTGAAACGTAATGGTGAGTGGTATTCTCAGATTTTATTCTCAGCTGTTGTGGTGCAAAATTCTCTTCAGGTGTGTTTTGGGAGGTTGTAACCTTGAAATGTTTGAAAACCACAAACTGATTGGCAGCACTGTAACTGTCACAAAAGACGCTGAGAGAATACAATGAAGTGGTTTGTGCTGAATAAATTAGCTTGTGGAAGATAAGGCGGAAGGAGGACGTGGTCTCAGTGAAAGAAAAAGGGGTTTATTGCCAAAGGGGAACGAGAAAAAGAGAAGAGGCGGAGAGACAGAAAGCTTTCGAGGCTGAGAGGACAGTGAGGTCACTTTACTACCCTGAGGCTCCTTTTAGATTTTTTTTAGAGACTGTGAGATAAAATAGCACCAGACCTTCAGAAAGAGATGGAGACCTGCTCCAGCTCTCGGAGGCAGTTCTCTCGTTTCTTCAGTTGGTAAATGTGAGAGCTGAGGACCAGATGGCCTCCCCCTCCCTCCTTTCTTCTCCCTCCATCCCTCTCCTTATGCGATACTTCTCGCCTTCCCTTCTTCGCAGCTTCCTTACCTCCCTGGCATGTGTGTGTGCGATTGTGTGTGCGTTTGTGTGTCAGTGTGTGGGTGTGTGGATGTGTTTTGTGCCAGTAGCCAAACAGACTGATGCATGGTGACTTTTTCTCTCCAGCCAAAAGAAAAGAAATGGAAGAGCTCTCCTCCTCTCTCTCTCAGAAAGACGCTGTCAGCTATGACTGGCCTTGTTCAGCACCAACACACAAACACACACACTGTACTGCATGTGTGTTCACCCGGCTCCTCTCTCCCTCTCCTGCTGACAGGCGGGAGTCAAACCCTCTCCATCCCCATCAGTAATGGTTTCTCTTTCTGATGTGACATGGAAGAAACCAGGTTGACGTGAGCTGAAGTCAGGCTGTAGCTCAGGGGCAGACGAGGAGGAAATATCACCATCCTGCTGATGTTGTTTTAAATAGCTGTGTCTCTGGGACAGTCTGCCACACTGCCTGGTGCCGAGCAGAGGGTCTGACGGAGCGAAAGGCTCCTCCGTTCCATTTGACGCAGACTAATTCAATAGGATTTAATTTGAGTCTGTCGAATTAAATTTGCCGCAGCTTAATGAGCGGTTGAATTCGTACTCTGGGAATGTGCTGCACTGTGCGTCTTCAGATCAAACACGAGTCAGCAGAGATCTGTTCGGTTTCAGGAAGTTCAGCTCACGCCAAAATGAAATGGAAGCTTTACTGATGAAAAGTGTAAACACAAGCTGTTCCTCTGGAGGTGTTCTATGTGTACTACAAGCAGAATTAAATGGAGCACGCAGCTACAACAACATCGTGAGACAGTTAATGTGATATAAACTCCAAACAGGCAGGAGAAATTAAGTCTGGTGCTAAAACGACTTAAGACTGACAAACTAAAAACATCAGTCCACAGCTATACATCCTACATCCTTGCCAAGAGACACATACCATCTAACCCCAACAGTCGTGTTTCGGACAAGGACCAATATTATATATCTCTACGCCCCTCATAAACCTCATTATGTGTCTCTTTACTATCTGTCCATTAGATTTTAATGTTAATAATAATTATAAAACAGCTGTTAGGAGGATTTATGTGACAGTGACATTTCATGAGATACTGTAGAAACATTATCAGTGGAAGCCAATGAGCCAGAAAACGTCCAGTCTCATTCCAGGGGGCGAAGGGGGCGCTGGTGAGGTAGTCCAGAGCAGGGATCGAATGGAGTTGTAGCTCAGAGTCCTTCATGGGTCAAATTTTGCAAACCTGCACCTGCAGAGCTTTACACCCGTTACCTGTCACCAAGTCAAATCTGGACCCCCCCACATCCAGAGGGTATGTCCTCCTCGTTCCTCCAGTTTTAGTGGTTGAGTTGTTTTCTTCATCGTCGCAGCACTTTCTCCTGCAGCTGTCGATGTTTTTTCCCAGCGATGCAGAGCCTCGAGCTTGTGGCTATCGAACGCTTATACTTTGTGGGGCTTTTTACAAGCAGCAAAGCCACTGAGAACGAATTTCCTACCAGCTATTTCTGTGTTTCTCTGTTTCGTTTTGCAGCACTTACTAGTTCGTTCTCGGTAGTGACAGATATTTGAGCAGAAGAGAAGTGGTCAGAGGTGGTGTCGTAGGCTTTCACAATAACATAAATCCTCGTGATGAACTTGGTCCCCCCCACCTGGGGCTCGACCAAAACTTAATGTTTATATTGGTGCATGTCAGAAAGGAGGCTGCTTCTCTTTGTCAAGTTTCTACCCAACTATTTTTCCTCCCATCTCTTCTCCTGCCCTGTTTTTCATATTTATTTTCCACCTTCAGTTTCTCGCTCTGTCCCTTTCTCTTCCTCGTCTGCTTTTTTCCCTGTTGTCTCTCGGATCAGCTCCCCTCTGCTGACATTGCAGACACATCCTGATGATGTAAACCAGTGTAACGATTACCACAGGGGCCCCTAATGACAAGATCAAAACACATACTGTACGGCAGACACATGCACAAACACACATAGTCCCACTTCTCTTCCTCTAACTTGTGTATTGTCTCCTCTCCAGATTCTGAGCAATAGGAAAGGTCTTCTTCCAGAACCGAACCTGGCCCAGTTGCTGACCAGTATGACGAACCCTGCTGCCCTGCAGATCCTCATGAGGCCGTACCACACTGGGAAAAGAGGAGGTATGAAAAGCTGTCGCATTGAGTGTGGTCAATACAATCGGCAAAGTCTTCATTTTCACTAACACAGGTCTTGAATATGTCGTCTCGCCTATAGACAGTAACATCAGGGATATAACTTACAGCTTTCCCTTGGAAGCCAGATGTAAAAGTCGCCCATATAGACTGTTTATAAAGATGGACGATGCATCTCCACTTCCTCCCTCAAAAACTTCAGCAGTTGAACAAACATCAGTGTAATGAGAAGGACCTAAAAGGAAAGAAACCATCTTTGAGAGTTTTATGGGGCGATCAGGGGGGATTTGGAATTTGGAACTTCTGGGGAGCTGGCATGTCGTCCATCTGGCATTCAGCTGAAGTCATTTTTACAGGCTATTAGCAGGAAAATAAAGCTTTAATGACGAGCACTGTTTATAGTGAGGTTCATCAAAGAGTAAAAGAGCAGAATATAAAAGTGAAAGTACATGATATTGATTAA